ATACATCTAGAGCGATAGGTTACCACCCCCTGGAGATAGCAACTCTGGGGATCCTTCCGATAGTTAACGTCGGGAGTGGCTCGGAACGATTGGCTAGCTACCTTGAGTTCCCCGTTGACAGGGATACTGTTACTTCTGGTGCAACATTACAACCTACAACTGTAAATATACAACTTCTTTCTCCTCGTGTGGCCTGAGCTAGTTACTGGAACGGGTTGCGCAAGTTTTCATTGGTTTGGACACTTCGCACATTAAGGTACCCTATAAAAAGACCCTAGAAATCCCTTTTCAAATGCAACGTAAGAGTAGGCTTCTGGGTTCTTAAGGTAAAACCCCCCTACTTTCGGTTCCACAAATGGCATCGCAGGCCCCTTCATTGCCGCCTTCGCTCAGGTGCAGGGGCGATGTTGGGTCGTGTGTGTCGCACCTTTCGTTTCCCTAAGGGTCCATGCGCCTATGTGGCATGTACTTGGGCACCTAAGGTTTGGGGTAAGAATCCCCAAGAACCCAGAAGGGCTACTTAGGGAACATACCTGCGGCAGGGCGCAGCTGGGGACATCTCGCCGAACGTCCAGGGCGCTTGGTGCGAGGTTCGGCCTGGATGTTTCTGTGGTACTTGTACCCTTACTATTTACTTGAGGACAACCCCCCCCCAAAAAAAAAAAAAAAAAAAAAAAAAAAAAAAAAAAACGATATAGATTCCCTATATTACCCTTATAAGGAAGAATGTTTTTTTTTGTTTTGTTTGGGGGGGGTTCTTAAGCAACTCGTAGTACTCATACAGGAATTTTGTGCGGTTTGTACTGCTTCTAGTGTGAAGCCCAAGGGAACATGAAAGGGAACATTGAAGATGTGATTTGTAGCTATAAGAGGAGTATAGGTGTAGGTTTTCTTGGGGGTGGCTCGTCTTGAACCTCATAGGGTCTGGAGAGCTTCCCGGCCATGGTTCGTGGTCCCCGTGTTTTGTGCTTTGGAACAGTGTAACATAGTTGGCATGGGATCGTTTGGCTTTAGGGCTTTGCCTTCTATGGTGTGGTAATGGCGGCTGAAAGGGGTTGAGTCTTGCGTGGAAATCAGTTTGTGGATCTGTGTGCGCTTTTGAAGATGCCTGGCTTGCACACGCCATCTCACGTTGAATAACTTGCTCATCCGGACTATCATGTGGGTTGGGAAAGGCTTTGGATGTTCGTGGCATGCCCTGACTATGAACATATCGATGTTGCAACTGAGAGCTTCGCGGATTGGTGTGTGTGTGTGTGTGGAACGTTCCTTTCCTGTGGACAGGCACATGCGATTGGCCAATACGGGATACCACTTGTTAGAAGATTCATCAGCGGTCATCCAAGTAGGTCCGTGTATTACTAGGCAGGACATTGGGATTTTGCATCTACCCTTGTTCGGATTGAGAGGCTCATGTTTAGGAACATCTTTCAGATGGCTTCGTAAGGGCCACAACCTAGATTACCCGTAGCTGTGGGACGAGTTTAAGCCCTAAACCCCAAACCCTAAACTCTAAACCCCAAACCCCAAACCCTAAACCCTAAACCCCAAACCCCAAACCCTAAACCCTAAACCCTAAACCCTGTGCAGGGCACCGGCCTCAGCTGCAACACCGCGCAATCGGCGCCCCGGCGAATTGCTTGCCTCCTCCCCTAATCTAAATCAGTGTTAGGGATCCTTTTCACTTTTTGGGTTATGGGCTTTCTTGTATATAAGCAAAAAGGATTTTTTTTCTTCCTAGGGGAACAGGGATTAAGTAATATTAAACCCCCTCAACCCCTTAAGCCAACATTCTATATAATGTAACCACAATGGGGGGGGGTATTTAATATTAGGGGGTAGGGGGTTGGGGGGGGGTTAATGTTAGGGGGAGGGGATCACTTGCCGTTTTTTTCGCTTTTTCCGGGGGTGGCTTGGGATCCCATCTGGCTTTGAGGTTAGGGTTCAGGGTTTAGGGTTTAGGGTTTCGGGTTCAGGGTTTAGGGATTTTTTAGGGTTTATAGGGATGCTTAGGGTTTGGGATTTATTGGGTTTAGGGCTTGTCCCGTGCGACTTTGTGGAGGTTTGCTACGACGGCCGCACGCCGCGCAACTCCAAATGCATCGCCTGGGGTCCTGGAGGCAAGCTTTTCTTGGTTTTGGCTGCAAGGGGGGACTTACCCTAAGCCCGAAACAGCCAAAGAACCCCACCTATACCTAAAACCCGACGCATCAACCTTGATCCCAGAGCATTGCCCCATAGACCCTAAACCTCTATACCCCCCATTTTGTGTTATCTTTTTTTTTTTTTTTTGGGGGGGGGGGGGGTGTAGGAAAGCCAAAAGTTCTGAACTCTAATCAAAGTGTGTGTGTATATATATATATATATGGACCTTATACGCCCTTTTTTGAGGTTCAGACCTGTCCCCCAGTCTCTGGGGCCTAGGACCGTAGCCTGTAGGGTGATCGTTCAAGGTCAGACAGAGTTCAGGGTTCAGGGTTTAGGGTTTAGGGTTTAGGGTTTAGGGCTTGCTTGTTATGTGGTTGATGGTTCAGAGGTTCTTGCGCACGAGTTCGCACGAGCGCAAGGGATCAGGGTCTGTCTGAAGGGAGGATCTCCGTGAAAACCTGGTGCAGTTCGATGGTATGCGGCCTAGGAGATCTTTGAAACACCCTAGGGTTTCGGGTTTAGGGTTTAGGGTTTAGGGTCCCTAAACCCTCGGCCCTCAGCCACAACCTCAACCCTGATCCCTCGAGCTTACACAGACCCCCCCCCCCCCTTGAGCCTTTGCCAAAAGCATCCTTACTGAGCTGCCCAAAGCCTAAACTTTGGGATGTTCCCCTTTTTTTAACAGTCCTTAAGTAATAGGGATTTTATTACCCTACTTTCCTCCCTACTAAGGACTCTTAGTATAAGAGGGAACATCCTAAGCCCTAAACCCTAAACCCCAAACCCTAAACCCCAAACCCCAAACCCTAAACCCTAAACCCCTAAACCCCTAAACCTCAATACCCTAAGCCCCAAACCCCTCAATACCCTAAACCTCAATACCCTAAACCCTAAGCCCCTAAACCCTGAGCCCTAAACCCTGAGAGCTAAACCTCAATACCCTAAACCTCAGTCCCCTAAACCCCTAAACCCCTAAACCCTACCCTAAACCCTAAACCCCTAAACCTCAATACCCTAAACCTCAAACCCCTAATTCCCCTAAACCCTAAACCCCCAAACCCTGAGAGCAGGACAAGACATCCTCAAGTCAACGAAGACCATCGGCGAGCGCCAATATCTGGCAGCAAGGCTGGGACCGGACCGGCTTCGAGGGTTTACCAGTTTTTTTTTTTTTTTTTTGGGGGGGGGGGGGGGGTTAGGGTTTAGGGTTTAGGGTTTAGGGTTTAGGGTTGAGGGTTGAGGGTTGAGGGTTGAGGGTTTAAGGTTTAGGGAGGGTTATGCTGTAGGGTGTTTTTACAGGATTTATGGGGCTTATGGGGATTATAGGCCTTGTAGGTTTTTAGGGTTTATGGGGCTTGCAGGGTTTATAGGGTTCCTGGGGTTTATAGGGCTTATAGGGCTAACCGGGTTGATAGGGCGCCCGTAAGCGATGGTAAGGTTTTTGGAGGATGCAGGGCTTCGGTGCTGGTACAATGAGCCCTAAGCGCCATATACTACCCAGCCCCAAACCCCAACCCCTAAGCCCTAAACCCTAAACACCCTAAAAACCCTAAACCCTAAATTGCAACCTCCCAGTAATGGGCACTCCTATGAGCCCTAAACCCTGGGCCCTGAACCCTAAACCCTAAACGCGGTATACTAGGCTCAGAAGTTTAGGGTTTTAGGTTTAGGTTTTTGAGGTACATGGAGACCATGAACCCCTCTTGAAGGGTATGCTTGTCTTCTCTCCCAAGGACCTCATCAGGCAAAGAGCAGCCGCTACACTCCCCAACCCTGCCAATTAAGAAGCCAAGGCCTACCTCTTGTAGGCCTGTACTACGAAACCCCGGTTTAGGAGTTGTAGGTGGCATAAAAAGAGTTGGTGGGCTTTTGGCTTCTTCAGGCAAGTGGCAACCCCTACGCCGCCACTTGCCCTGGCTTCTCACAGCTTCTTGCAGGCATATCTTCGATCGGGCCAGCACGCCCGCCGGTGATGGTGTGGATTACCGCATTCGGCACCTTGAAAGCAGAACTCTCAAAACCCCTAAGCCCTAAGCCCTAAGCCCTAAACCCTAAACCCTAAACCCTAAACCACCTTCACGGGGCTTGAGGCCCGCCTAGCAGGCCCAAAGCATACATAGTGACGATGAGCTCTTCAGAGCTTTTGGGGGCGTCAGCGCCCTCAAGCTCCAAAAATTCCGAAACCTGCCCAAGCCCAAACATACAGTGCCAAAGATCCCAATGGGTTTAGGGTTTAGGGTTTAGGGTTTAGGGTTTAGGGTTTAGGGCCTGCATGGCTCCCTGAGACATGTGACATCAAGCTCTGAAAGCCCAGACTCAAAGCAACCCTAGGAATCTAAGCGCGCTGAGAACCCTCTCTTGAAATGGCAGGCCTGGGCTTTCCTAGCTTCCTTCACCCTACCCTACATCTAAGGGAAGTTGCATGGCCCCTCAATATGGTCCCTTGCCTTCTTAAAAAAGGGTTCTGAAGTATGGGCCCTTGGGTTTACAGGGTATTTCAGGGGAATACAAGGGTTCCCACCATGCAACTACCCTTGGACTACAGAATCTCACCCCCCATGGAAGTGAACCGATTGAACTCCAACCTTTGGGACGACATGAACCCGGAACTTGGCGTCATAGACCCTATTTTACTATAGGTTCAGGTCGTCCCCAAGGTACATGACGACTTGAAGCCTGAAAAGGCATGCATCTGAAGCTACACCCGAATACATGGCGGAAGTGTACCTGTGGCACCCCGATTCGACTTTCAACTCAGCATTGCTCTTGCAGTTGCTACAGCCGCATTTCCTGCAAAAAGTGTTAGCGGGAAGCAACAACCCGATCCTGGCTTCGAGTGGCTTTGCAACGCCATGCGGCTGAGCCGTGCCATGATCCTGCTGAGGTATGTCGACTTGACCAAATACTTCTTCAAGTACGAGGAGTCGATGAGACCCTACAACCCTCAATCCCCATAAGGCTAGTTCCGCGGGACCCAGAGCAGGACCCTTATTCCCTTATCTCAAGGTTTAGGTTCCCTTATGAGCATGTGTGAACCAAAAAGGTCACCCTGTGTTATTCCTAGGTTGCTCGTGCTAAGGTTTAGGGTTGGGTCCATGGCCCATACACCTGCAGCCTAAATGGGATTCAGTATGGGTCTATGATCCCATTCTGGGATCTCACTTGGTCCCCAAGGTATATCCTTGGCTTACGTCGGCGGTCCGCATCCTCCGAGTCCGCACAATTGGGCCGCACATACGGAAAGCGACCTCGGGTCGAGGAAAAAGACGCCGGAGAGCAGCACCTTCCTGCGTCTCAACTGATGGAGGTGTTTTTGGCCTTGCTGGACCCTGAAGCCCTGGTTGCCCCAATTACCAGTCAGGAATAAGGGCTTACAGTGTCAGCAGGCGGTGCCAAACTTTCGGTGCACGTGCTGTTGCCCTCGTGTGCTTGCCAAGTGAAGCTTGGGAAGGGTGGTGGGAGCCGCCAAGAAGTCAAGAAGACAACAAAAAGGCAAAGAGAGGATAAGAGAGGGTTCTCCCGCCTACCCGGAAAATGACATGCATCATGCGTTGGTTTCGTGGGCTTGTCGAGAAACAAAGCTTGGGTATGGTGGTAGGAGCAGCCAAGAAAGGGCCCTGCAAGGGTCCCAAACTTCCCAGCAGGCTGTTCCCACCAAGGTGTCATGGGGTTTGACAGATATTTCACGCCTATTGGAGCCCGAGGCTTGACAAGGCAGACTGCACGCATATCCCAGATGTTTGCAATATCTAAATCACGCTCGTGCTCAAGCATCCAAGAGTTCGAGCAGTTGAAGTCGCCTGTGCAATGCGTCGGTGAAGGCAACGCCAAAAGCCCAAAACCCTTAAACCCAGGCATAATTACAAGGTACGTCCGGGTTAAGGCCTCCTCTTCAATTTTTTGCCAGCTCTGAACTTGGACCCCCAAGCAGTTTCTGCGGGTTCGCGGAGGACGGCTCCCAGGGACGCACCTGCAAGCCGGCGCGCGGGGGGGGGGGGGGGGGGGGGGGGGGCCTTAAGGCTTCAGTTCAGGGTTGTTTTAGAGCTCTGGAACAAAGGATCTGAGGCGAACTTTCAGATTTCACGAGAACTTTTGTCGCTCAGCTTTTGAAGTAGGGTGTAGGGTTATAAGGTTTACGGTTTAGGGTTTAGGGTTTGCGGTCTCTGTTTTCAGCGTCCAACCGCGACCGCTTGCGAGGCAATGGGCACGTCCTTCGCAGCCGGCACTACGGACGGCCCGAGCAACGTGGACGAGCCTTTCGGCGTAACAGCCCTTCAGTACCATACCCATATAATCCCTAAACCCGAGTTCAGGCTTAAGGTTCTATAGAACCTTAAAACCTCAACCCTGAACTCGCGTTTAGGGCCCTATAGGGCCCAAACCCGAGTTCAGGGTTGAGGTTTTAGGGCCCGGTGGTGGGCGAGCCGCTGGGTGGGACTCGAGCGGCGCGAGCCCTTGAAGCTCTAAAACCCTAAAGAAACCCGCGGGTCCATTCACAAAAAGAGCCGGGGTAATTGACTATAAGTAGAGTCATAACCCCATTGAGGGTACTTTCTGAGTCTCCAAGCAAGGTTCGGGCAGAACATGACCCCCACAAGTGGCTTCCTGAGGCGTGGCTGAAGCCTTTCGGGGGCTGCTTTTGCTTTGGGGTCGAGACTTTCCCGAATGCTTTGCGAAGGGCTCCGGTTTTTTCAAGGGTTGGGGTGCAAGGGTTTCAGGAGGTTGCCCGACATCGTGCGTTTTGTCTTCGCAAGCGCCCGCGTGTGTCGTGCATCGCACGCGCGCGCCATCCTCGCGACTGTCTAGCTTCCGTTAAGTAACTAAATAGCAGCTATTTTCAAGCTGAGGCATGTGCTCATTATGTGAGAATTCGAGAGACTGATCTGTGCGGGGAGCGAGCCATAGAGAGCGAGGGGGAGAGAGCCTGTTCGGATCTCGTGACGCGTGTCTGCGTGTGGGTTCGTGACCCTGATCAGGTTGTTTTGTTGGGTTTAGTAAACCCTAAACCCTAAACCCTAAACCCTAAACCCTAAAAGGGGGTTGCGGGGGAGGAGGCGGGAGTGGATAGCCATTTGGAGCCATGAGCGCCCTGAAACTTCTGGGCCTTCGGTCTGCCTCGGCTTGCTTCAACAGTCAAAGAGTCCCAGTTTAGGGTTTAGGGTTTAGGGTTTAGGGTTTAGGGTTTAGGGTTTAGGGTTTAGGGTTTAGGGTTTAGGGTTTAGGGTTTAGGGTTTAGGGTTTAGGGTTTAGGGCAATTTGATGATGCTGAGATTCGTCGGGCTTTTCGGGCTTTCGGATCCTGCTGCTTGTTCTGAGAACCTTCTGCCCCAAACCCTAAAACCCAAACCCCTAAACCCAAGCCCCAAACCGTAAACCCCAAACCCAATCCCCCAATCCCCACACCCTATAAACCCCAAGTCGGCCCAAGCCCCCCTTTAGGGTTTAGGGTTTAGGGTTTAGGGTTAAACGCAGGTTCATGGGCCACCTGCTGTCGATGCCCACGGACGAGGCCAAGAGGCCTGCGACTGTCGGGGTGAACGGTCCAGGCTTCCGGGTGCTCTAGAGCCCACGGTTGATTTTGGTACTTTCCCAAAATTGGGGTTAGGGGTCAGGGTTCAGGGTTTAGGGTTTATGGTTTAGGGTTCAGTGTTTAGGGTTTAGGGTTTCCGTTTCTTGGGGTTCCTAGAACAAGGATTCTTGTCTTTTTTAAGGATACGGGGTACCCAAAAGAGGACCCACAGGGTGAGGTTTCGAGTTGACTAGCCGAAGCCAAAAGCCCCAAGTACCCAAGACCAACCTTCAGGCTTCCGGACAGAAAGGGTATATTTTTTGCCTTTAAGGGGATGGAGAATATTTTAGGGTGCAAAAGGGGGTACCCCTATGTTTTGGGAAATAGCCATATATGTTCTTAAGTACGCATGTATTTGTGATGTGTTGTATAAACCGTCCTTTCCGGACACAGACATGTCTAGCTTGTGGTTTGGTCTAGCCCAGAAAACCAAGGGTTCCCTACCCCCCCCCCCCCTCCCCCCTTTGCCGGCCTCGCACCCGCTGGAAGGTTTAGGGTCTTCTCCAGAGGTGCCACGCGCCCAAAGACATCCTGCTCTACACGGGCAGCATGAAGGCCCCACCTTGCGCGGGGCTGGAATTAAGGGGTTATAAGGGAGGGGCTTCAGACGCTGGTCTATGAATTGTGAGTATACCTTTTGAATAGAAGCTACTGACAACACGCGTTCTTCATAGGTCGGCCCCCATTGACTTCGATGACTCTGTGACAGTGATGACTTGATGACTTCACCCCCCTTAATAAACCGCACCTGCTCCCCAGCAGCCCGAATTCAATTGCCATCTCGAACTGCTCGAGCTAGCGCGTTCGACCTGCGTTTGGGGATCTTAAGGCCGAGTTTCGGGGAGCAACTCCTGCTCAGTCTGCTGTGTACTGCTATGTGCGACTTTTCGATCGTTCTGTGAAAGCCCGTATGCCCTAAGCCCCGAGACTCCTTGTCATCCCAAAGCCCTAAACCCTTACTAACCCCGAAGCCCTAGACCCGAAACCGTCCTTGGCAAAGGCGCCCTATCCGTACATGCCGTCCAAGATGGCATTTCAGCTGATCCGCATCGGGAGCCCTGGCGTCTGCTCAGGGGATTTGAGGGCGCTTCGCTTCGCCACAGTGTGTGTGTGAGAGAGAGAGAGATGGTTTCGGGTTTACTGGCAGCCTGTGCGCCTGTGCGAACCCTAAACCCTAAACCCTAAACCCTAAGCCCTAAACCCCCGAAAGCGCCAGAAGCGGGCTCCAAGGAACCTGATCATTGCCGGCGTGCCCGGCAGCTTCCTCGGCATGGCTGGCTACGGGTTTAGGGTTGAGGGTTTGGGGTTTAGGGTTTAGGGTTTAGGGCCGGGTTTTCACATTAGCGGATTTGGGTGGTCAAGGGCCCTAGTAGGGCTTCATTACAGGAACTATCTTAGGCCAACGCTGTCCCAAAACGGGCACCCCAAGTTTTCAGCAAGCCCCCCATGTACCTGGGATGTTTGCGGGGTGACATGATGCGCAGGGATTGAAGAACTGGGTTTTTGAGTACTGTACTTGAATGCTTTTTTTGGTTCTGGGTTCGTACTATAGCTACTTATACCGAAAAAGTATATACTTTTTTTTCCAGGGTCTACTCCAAAGGCAGGAAGAGGGTCATGAGAAGCCCTTGCCTTGCAATGGATATTCGCAGATGCTGGAGTGAGATTCTTGACCTTAGCTGCCTCGGGACGCGCGTCCCGGCGTCCAGCACGCGCGTCCTAGAAACTTGCGTCTTCAGCACGCACGTCCTGAAATCAAGAGCAACTCTGCACAGAAAGGGAATGTCCCCATGCGTTTTCAGGCCCTGTAAGAACGCACACCCGAAACCCTGCACCCTGAACCCGAAGGCCTCCTAAAACGCACAGAGCTTTTGCGGACAGTGCAGAGCCTTCTGGATGGGCCTCATGAGGTTCTTTGGCGGTTCCTGGGGGGCGAAAAACCTCGGAAATTCACACCGTCCTCTGCGGCTCCAAGCCCGAAAGCTCCCGTGTATTTTCCATGGCCCCCCAAAACGCACAGAGCCTGCTGGGACAGCACAGAGCCTTCTGGAAGGTGTCCTCATGAGGTTCCGTAGGGGGGTTCTGGGGGAATCACGTAGTGCAAAAATCTTGGAAAACCCACGCAGTCCTTGCGGCCCTCAACCCGAACCCTGAACCCGAAAGCTCCCGTGCATTTTCCACGCCCCCCAAAACGCACAGAGCCTTCTTGGACAGCACAGAGCCTTCTGGCAGGTGTCCTCATGAGGTTCCGTAGGGTTCTGGGGGAATCACGCAGCAAAAATCTTGGAAAACCCACGCAGTCCTTGCGGCCCTCAACCCGAACCCTGAACCCGAAAGCTCCCGTGCATTTTCCAGGCCCCCCAAAATGCACAGAGCCTTCTTGGACAGCACAGAGCCTTCTGGCAGGTGTCCTCATGAGGTTCCTTAGGGGGGTTCTGGGGGAATCACGTAGTGCAAAAATCTCGGAAACGCACGCAGTCCTTGTGACCCTCAACCCGAACCCTGAACCCGAAAGCTCCCGTGCATTTTCCAGGGCCCCCAAAACGCACAGAGCCTTCTTGGACAATACAGAGCCTTCTGCAAGGTGACCTCATGACTCATGAGGTTCCTTATATATAGGGGTTTGGGGCTTAGGCAGGAATCACTCAGTGCAATGCACCTCGCGAAACGCACCGAGCCTTTTTGGACAGTGCAGAGCTGGAAGGGGTCCCCATGAGGTTCCCTAGAAAGTTCCTGGGGGGCTAGGCAGGAGTCACTCTGTGCAAAAACCTCGAGGCCCAAAGCCCCAAACCCTGAAGCCGGAAACCGAAACCTCCCGTGCATTTCCAGGCCTCCCGAAATGCACAGAGCCTTTTTAGACACAGCTAAGGGTCATTGGAGGGAAAGGGAGGGGAGGGGAAGGGGAACGAACGAACTGTGGGACGAGCCCCGGAACCCTAAACTCAACACACAAGTACACGTGCGTTTTCCCACCCCCTGGAAACGCACGCGAGCGCCGCATCGCTTTCTATAGACCTGGAGCAGGCTGCGTCCTGAGGAGGGTCAGCGGCCACGTCCCGGACCGCGTTCCCAGACGCGCGTCCCGCGTCACGTCCCGAACGGCTACTAAGTTCTTGACCCTTTTCTTCAGGCTTGTGGGGGGTTTAGGGTTTAGGGTTTAAGGTTTAGGGTGTAGGGTTTAGGGTTTAGGGCTTTCATATAGAGATGGCCTGTTTGCGTGGAGTTCGGTTCAAGGAGCCCCGGGCCCGCTTTGGGGAGGTGTGTTGTTTGTTCGCAGTCCGCGGTCGTTTTCTTCCAAGAGAAATGCCTCAAAGCATGCCTTCTTTATTAGCCTGACTTCTTTCGCTCAAGTCCGCTTACATAGCAGCAATTCAGAACCCGAACCCCTACTCAACCCTAAACCCTAAACCCTAAACCCTAAACCCCCAGCACCGGCCGGGTCCAGGCGAGTTCACGACCATGGCCGGTCGCCGGACGGCCAAAGCACTGAAGAAGATCTTCGTGGACAAAGGCCCAGGGAGGTTTGGGAGAAGCATATTATCCATAAAGAAGTAATCAGAAATAAGAGCAGAATAACTACTAGTTAATATAGCAACAAAAGAAGAAGCGATAGACCACTATAGCATCGGGATTTGAGGTCCTGGGTGCTGCCAATGTCGCCTTCAGCCTTCCTCCACAAGCCTCCGAAGTCCTTGCAAGAAACTGCCCCCTAAACCCTAAACCCTAAACCCTTGGCATCCGTACTGATGCCAGGTGTGGTCAGTTCAGATGCCCGTGTGGTCATCAACAACTGCGCCAGTGGCTACGTGTCGCCCTTGGCAAAGCGCACAGGGCCATAACCAGAGAAGCAGATAGATATTATATACAGATACATATATATATGTATATGTATATGTATATGTATATGTATATGTATATGTATATGTATATGTATGTATGTATGTATGTATGAATGTAGCGGGTGGGTGTAGGGACGAGAGTGTCAAGGATGTTCCAGGAAGGACCAAGGCCTTTGGAAGAATTTGGCTTGCCATTTGAGCCGGATAGCCCCAACTGCCAGATTTCTTGGAGAAGCCTGGCGCCGGCGCATGCTTCCCTTTCCTTTGAGCATCAGACGCGGCAAGTTTTTCATCCATCTTAGGGATTTGAAGGTGTCCGGGAATCCCATGTCCTTGCCTGATGAAAAAAGGAGCTCTCCTGCCAAACGCGCCACTAGTCTTGAAGCATCCACATCTCGGGCCCCAAACCCAGAAAACTTGAGCTGCACCTTGGTGGCCTAGTGAACCCTAAGGATGGAATCCTTTGCCCATACTGCAAGAGAAGGTTTCTTGACCATCAACCCTGTGTAGGGCAAAGTAGAAGCATCTGCTCGGCTGAGGCCGGCTACGTCTCGACGATCGAGGCGCCACCTCTCCCCAGGTTTGAATGGGGCCAAGAAGCGCCCCCCCCTTCTCCCTTGACACCAGATGAACCCTTAGCTTAGCGGGCCATCGACCCTCTACAACAAAACACCTATACAATAAGGGCAGATGGCCCAAAACACGTTTAAGGTTCGTTTAGTCCCTAAGGGTGTTTTTCGGGCTTCGGAAGAATTTCTCAAGCTGCAGCTTTCGCAACTTGGGAAGTCTCGAGTCTATAGGTAGGGGCATTTCCTACACACCCCAACCCTGCATCAGCTGCTGTTCCTGCGAAACTCGAAGCCCTGAACCGGTCTTCGCTTGGGTGATCTCTTGCCTCACAACCCCAGGCCTTGTGCAGCCGAACTCCAACAAGACCCTTCCACTTGCAAGTCCCAGAGCCCGAAGCACAAGAGACTCTCTCCCACCCACACACACACACACACACACATACAGAGACATACAGACATACACATGTGCAAATAAAGAATATTATATATATATACACACACACACCTTTTTCAGTCTTTGTTTATGATTTTTACGACTAGGAAGTGTTCTATATATATATATATACATATGCATACATAGGTATACTGCGCGCAATGCATGACGCGCTCAGACGCAAGATGCAGGAGTACCAGCACCAGCGCTACGAGGGCGCCTCCACGGCTTATGGCCCCCACACGCACGGAGCCGCCGCAGCGGCAAAAAGGGGAGGGGGGGGCCTTCCTGTATAGGGTTTATCGGGTTTACAGGGTTTTATAGGGTTTACAGATGTTTACAGGGTTTACAGGGTCTATAGGATTTATAGGGTTTTATGGGGTTTAGAGGGCTTAAATAGGTTTAGGGAGGATAGCTTTCCATGTCCTTTCCCTGCTTCTCCGGCTTCGCTGAGCCCTTCCCTACTTTGACTCGGTGAAGTTGTGGCTCTTGGGGCTGTTGGAGTGAAGTGAGCAGGAACCCGCCCCAAACCCTAAACCCTAAACCCTAAACCCTAAACCCCCCTAAACCCTAAACCTTTTAAACCGGGAGATTAGCGGCCTGCAAGACCAAATGGGGGGAACGCTGGGAGCCGCCGCAGATCTCTAAACTCTCCTGCTTTTTGAGGCCATGACTAGCATCCTGAAGGAGATGGCAAAGGCCGGCCGCAAATTTGGGAGTTGGACTTGCTTGGGGTCTTACGAGAAGAAGCGTTTAGGGTTTACGTAGTTTAGGGTTTAGGGTATAGGGACCCCGAATTTGAACCCCCCAAATAGTAGGATCCCGTAAGCCCCCGTTGTCCCTGAGCCCCGTGAAACCCTAAACCCTATTGGTGTCAGAGTCGAACTGCGTCAGGGCTAGGACAAAGCTTGAAGCTAAATTTGCGCTACTTCTACTATCGTCTTGTGGTTCGAAGTCAAGTAGATCGCTATAAACCCTCATTGACGCTGACCTCCCAGACCAAGGGGACCAAAGAACCCTAAGCTTCGAATCATCTGCCCTGTATGCTCCCAAATGTATATATACACACATATATATATAATTAGATATATATATATATATATGGACAATAAATTCTCTTCGGGCTCATTTACTCCCCAAACAACGCACGCCCAAGCTTTTTTCAAACCTCCCACACCAGGAGATGGCTGAGGGTAAGGCCACCCTAAACCCTAAACCCTAAACCCTAAACCCTAAGCCCTAAGCCCTAAGCCCTAAACCCTAAACAACAAAAACTCCACACCAGGAGATGGCTGAGGGTAAGGCCTACCGCTGGCCCGGCGCCCCGCCCTCCATCCCTACGGAAGCGCAGCTGTGGGAGGGCCAGCACCTGGGCTTTGCCAGGTTTAGGGTTTAGGGTTTAGGGTTCGGTCTAGGGTTTAGGGTTTAGGGTTCCGAGCGTATGGGTTGCTGCGTGTGTGAATTGAGTTCATTCTCCGCAGGCTCGTGGAGATTCGTGCTGAAGCCCCCTTTACCCACCCATGATCGCCCCAGACGGTGATATGCATCTTTCAACATTTGGCCGGCAGTTCTAAGGAGCGATGTGGTTTCCGATGATCCTCCCATTGGCACGGGGGCCCAGAAGCAGCCGTGGCTGCGCACTCCACGCTACTATTTGCTTAAGAACCCCCCAAGAAAAGAAAAATGTTCTTCCTTATACGGGCAATATAATAGAGATTGGGATGATTATTTCATGTTCTTTGGGTGTTCTTAAGCAAATAGTATCATGGGGCCCCGGCTTCAGGTGAAGTCGGGGGGGGGGCTTCGGGGTTTGGTCGAGGGGCGAGGGGCCTGCATGGTTCACACCATCCCAAACCCCAAGACTTGAGTATCCCAGATGTGGTGCAGGTAGAGCCGCGAGCTTAGGCGGAAAATTCGGCGACGTCAAGAAGGATGTTCTGCCCTGGAACTATGCTCCTGGCAGTGTGGCACAGGTGCGCGATCGGGTGGGCTTTTTCTTGCAGCTCTAGACACCTCACAATCTTCACCAGCAAGGTGCACCATGCAATCTGTTCTAAGATTGCCTTTTCCAGAAGTAGTCCTGGCCGTAGGGCTCGTCACCCAACTAATCATTCAAGGCTCTGCGCTGCCACCGCTTTTCAAACCCTAAACCCTAAACCCCCAACCAGGGCAAAGCTGGCCGAGGAGGTAAGCTTGGCACGCGTAACCCTACGATATGCACCCTCTAACCCTACATAAGACCCTTTAGATCCTTCGACCTCTCCAAGCTTTGAAGCCCGAAGGCAACCATCTGGGGCGCGCATCCGCGCAACAACTTGCGGCGGAACTCCACCTTTGTCTCCGTGTGGCGTTCCGAGGCAAGCAAGCTGTCCTAAGTAGGACATTCCTTTTGGGGACCAAGTTATTTAGGGTTCATGTGGTCCCGGAAGTGGGGACAGGTTGTATTTACCCTGAGTCTTCTTGAGTTTTGGAGTGTACTTGATCTGGGGTTTTTGTCTTTCATAGGCGTTGTTGAAGGGGGGGGCGAGGGATACGGAAGTTGTGTCCGGGTTTCCGGGCCAAGAGGCCGGGGTTCAGAGTTTCTGTTGGGGGGGGGGGGGGGGGCCTGCGCCTGAATAAGCAGAGAGCGCAAAACCCAAAGGCCCGTCACATCCCCGACGCCCTTCACGCACCCAACCCCTACCCTAAACCCTATACCCTAAAAGCCCTAAAAGCCCTAAAAGCCCTAAAACCTGAAACCCTAAGCCGAATAATCCCTAAGCCCATGTCACGTCGCCAATCCTGAAGCCTAAACCTGAAAGACAAAAACCCTAAACCCTAAACCCACAAACCTAAAGCCTGAGCCGTTTGACCTCACGGATCCTCAACCATGGGTTTGTCCTTACCTCTCCCTGGACCTGCAGAAGGTAACCAGGTAGCCCTAAGCCCCAAACCCAAAACCCTAAACCCCAAACCCTAAACCCCAAACCCTAAACCCTAAACCCCAAACCCTAAACCCTAAACCCTAAACCCCAAACCCCAAACCCCAGACCCCAGAGCGGTGCTGCAGGATGGCAAGGCTCCCTGGAAGATGGCCGGAGCCCGAGTCTGCTAAAACGTGACATGCCCTAAACCATAAAACCCCAAACAACCCAGAAACCCCTTAACCCTAAGGCTCCAAACAGCCCAAAGTAGGTATTATTTACAGACTTTAGACCCCAATGTAGGTATTATTTGTATACTTGGAGCCCTAGGGTAACCCCAAACCCCACGCCCTAAACCCTGCAAACCCTCAACCGCTTCCACCCAGACGCACGTAAAGTCTCTCCAGCCCCGGCACCCGCATCCACGCGGGCCAAGGTGGCGGACGACAACGACTGGGAGCTGCGCTTCGAGTGGAAGCGGGTAGGCTCGCGCCAGAACTCGGTTGAGGGGTTTAGGGTTTATAGGGTTTAGGGGTTTATAGGAGTTTATAGGGGTTGCAACCCTAATCTGTTAGGTGCAGTTTGAGAGTCGAGTGTGCGCGGTGGCTTGAGGTCAGGGCGCACCTTGCGCTCGGGGGTCCTTGTTGAAATCCCATGAAGTTGAGAGACTTAAGTGTGGTTTAGGGTTTAGGGCTTCGGGAAGGGGGAGAAGCGCTTTAGGGGTTGTTTATTCAAGGTATCAAGGATTAGGTTTAGACCTAAAGACCAAGCCCTGAAGCCTCTTGAGCCATGGGCCATGACTTCCCAGATCCCATGTTGCAGCGGCGAATAATAAGCAGACCTTTCTTCGACAGACTTGCAGCCATTTAATTGGGCCAATGTACGAGAGTTTTCCCACAACCAGAAGCCCCCCAAACCGATCAATTCCTTTCGGGTTGAGGGTTTAGGGCTTAGCCCTAAACCCTCAACCCTAAACCCTAAACCCTAAGGCCCCCTCCAACCGAAGCCTTGACTCCCCGAGGCATCTCCGCGAGCACCGTCACCATCACATGGGAGATCCCTGAGGACGAAACATGGGTTTAGGGTTTAGGCTGTAGGGTTTTAGGTGTAGGGTGTAGGGTGTAGGGCTTAATTAGGGTTTAGGGCAGTTTAGGGCTGCAGGTACTCGTGTGTGATGTGGTTGGTTTGCTCTTGCTGACCAGTAGATGCTAGGTTGTTGTGGAGGCAAACTCTTCAGCAACTAGGGCTATCTTAAGGCTGAAGGAGCCTGGACAACAATCATTACACATCAAAGCTGTAAGTTTCAACTTTGAGGAACATGTTTTTTTTCTCTTGTGGACGGCAATGAAGCAAACCCCAGGCCCGGTACATGTGCGAACCACTCTGAACCCTAAACCCCAAGTCCTAAACCCTAAACCCTGAACCCTAAACCCTAAACCCTACACCCTAAACCCATCGCTCCTCCGGGAGATCCCTTGAGGACGTCAAGACCGCCTTCTACACTCTGCGCCCCGGCAGAGTCCCGACATGCGCGGGCTCTAAGCCTTGTGGGCTGGTTTAGGGTTTAGGGCTTAGGGTTTAGGGTTTAGGGTTGGGGATTCAAGATCCCAGCTTCTGTTCTGCCCAGGCGCTACAATGGCGAGGCCAAGCACCTGGGGAAGATCATCAGCATCAGCGGCGCCTGCCTCAGCATCGGGGTGAGTGGCCATGGTAGAGGCCGACCGTTTAGGGTTTAGGGTTTAGGGTTTAGGGTTTAGGGTTTAGGGTTTAGGGTCTAGGGTTTAGGGTAATCCTCTAGACCCTAAAACAAATTTGAGGTCAGCAACAGCTTTCAGGGATGATCTTGGCAAGGCTTAGCCTCCCCCCCCCCCCCCCCCCCCCCTTCGCTTTGAGCGAGCTGAATCCTCAACAAACCCCTTCGGGACGAAATGAACCCTAAGAGGGTTCACTTGTTGTACTATATATGATATAATATAGTAAAATATAATGTACTACAGCATAATATAATATAATTTTATACAATATAATACAATAATATATATATATATATATACATGTTTTGTTCTCTTAAAAGGATTATAGTGGCATGGGGCAGATGCCTCAATGTTAGTGTTCAGTTGGTCCCCAGCCCCGACCCTTTTGCTTTGGTGAGCCTCCGCCGACCCTAAACCCTAAACCCCTAACCCCGAAACCCTAAACCCTAAAACCCTAAACCCCTAAACCCTAAACCCCTCTGAACCATTCTGAACCTTAAGCCCCAAGCCCAGGGCAGAGTCGCCCCTTCCGCGTGGAGAGACCGTCGGTGAACGTGACCACGCAGTGAGCGTTCAAGCGTTTAGGGGTTTCGGGTTTATGGTTCAGGGGAAAATCGAAGTTGCTTTGCAAGCAGTGAATGCGCCTGTATTCTTTAGAGACGCAGGACTTAAACGGTAGATGCAAAAAGAGGATCTACATAAATCTTATAAGAGAACCCCGAGCTTCAAGACTTCGCAAAAAAAAGGCCAAGCCCCTCGGCTAAAGCAGCTTGGGGGGGCTTACAGCGGAGTTGCCCCCGGCCAAGCGCGGGCAGCGAGAACTGCGCGCCTCGGCTGGTCGGGCGGCAACCCTCCGGGAACCCACAGGGGCGGAGCATGGCGCGCCCAGTGCTTAGACTTTATCATAGTTGGGGTACCATTTTACATGTCTAAGGGTACCTAAATCTTGTAAGGAATATAAATTTAGATTTTTAAGGTTATCCCAACCATGAGCTAGTAGATGAAGGACAACTTCACACACTTCCGTAGCTTGCGTGAGTTATTGTTTGCCGTCATTCATAGTGTTGGTTCATACTGAACACACGAATAAAAGAGACGTAAGCACAGGGGTAACATATGCGTATTATGTGTATCCACACAGAACGCAGGCCGGTATGTACCTGTTTGTTTGTTTTTGTTGTTTGTTTGTTGTCCTCATGCCCTGTTGTGAGACCCGCAGCCTTGAACCCCCCCCCCCCCATGTGTATAGCCGTTTGCTCAAAAACATCTCCTAGCGCACATGCCTCGCCCAGCTCTGCATGCTGCATGCGCTACTGAGCCGGACTCTTCATCCGTGGCTATGGCAGGGCTCAGGGAAGCTCAGGGTTCAGGGGATCTTAGTTAGGGTTTACAGGGTTGTTAGGGTTTTATAGGTTTTTATAGGTTCCTATAGAGTTTTATAGGGTCTTGTTATAGGTTATAGGGTTCTACAGGGTTTATGTGGTTTGTGCGGTTTATAGGTCTTTAGGGTTTACAGGGTTTAGGGTTCCCCCCCAGCATGAAGGATCTCGGAGGGGCTAAGCTGGGTTTAGGGTTTAGGGTTTAGGGTTTAGGGTTTAGGGTTTAGGGTTTAGGGTTTAGGGTTTAGGGTTTAGGGTTTAGGGTTTACTCGGAGGTTCTGGGCACTTAGAACCCCAGTTGGGATGTCCTCTAAGTTGGGTTTAGGGTTTAGGGTCTTAAGTAGACTTATGCTTGGGGGTCCGAAGTACCCATAAAACCTCCAAGTGTAGGGCCCTGATGCACTTTGGGGCTTTGCTACATTGAGCGCTACATTGAGCGCTGCCCATGGACTATAAACCCAAGCCCCTATAAACCCTCTGGACCCCAAACCCTAAGCCCTGAACCTTGAACCCTAAACCCTAAACCCTAAACCCTAAACCTTAAACCCAAAGAAGGATGCTTAACCCTAAACATTTTCAGACGAAGGATGAAAAGGCCGGCTTTGAAGGCTTGCCAGGTGGCAGGGGCCTAAAAAATCGGCCTGGCAGCAGAAACCAGCACCGGCTTTGCGAGGCCGTTTTGCCTGTAGAGCTCTTCATGTAAAGAGTGCACGATTGAATAATTAGAGTGCGGTTTTGTGGGGTTATTATAATTCATGTTAAGAGTGCTCAGGGGGTTTGGTTTGGGCTATGTCGTCGTGAACGGTTGCTCGGTTTGCTCTCAAGGCTCCAGCCTTCTGACTAGCGGTTGAAGCTAGCTTGGCTTGCCTTTGGCTTGGGCGGCTGCTTCTCTTTGACTTCTAAAGCTGAACTCTGGGGGTCTGGCTGTTAGGGCATGTTGCGCGGATTTACTCGCGTGGAACAAGACCACTTGGGGTGCCGGAAGGTGCCCTTTCTTCTGCCGAACGCCGGGTGCCTGCCAGATTTAAATCCAAAGCTTCGTGAGTTTTGAAGAGGACCTTAGAACAAGGTGTTAAAGAGCTACACCATTTTAGTGTTCTCTCTCTCTGTACAGTACAGTCTGCATCCCACTTTTGTTGCCTGCGGGCGAGAGTTCTGAGTTTCAGTTTGCTGGAGCCAAAAAGCCGCCGCGCTCCTTGGAATGCGCAGACGAGAAGCCTTGTCACAAGGAGCAAGAGAACCCTAAACCCTAAATTGTAAACCCCAAACCCTGAACCCTAAACCCTAAACCCTAAATTGTAAACCCCAAACCCTGAACCCTAAACCCTAAATTGTAAACCCCAAACCCTGAACCCTAAACCAAAAATTGTAAACCCCAAACCCTAAACCCTAGACCCTAAACCCTCTAAACTCAAAACCCCTCTGCTTGTGTCCATGGCCGTGGGCCGGGGGCCAGGCTTCACGGTCCGGCGAAGTACCGCAACGGCCACTGCCGAGGTGGAGGTCGTGGGTGCCTGCCTCGAAGCGCCCTTCTTTCAATGAAGGGTTTAGGGTTTCGGGTGTAGGGGTTAGGGTTTAGGGTTTAGGGTTTAGGGTTTAGGGTTTAGGGTTCTTACTATTATAAATTAAGGCTCCGGATGTTGAAAGGCATCCTGCACGCATGAGCGGGAGGAGCTTAGTGTTCTCCCAAATATTCGAGCCCTAAACCCCCTAAACCCTGAACCCTAAATTCGACATCCTGAAGGCCTTCAACCCTCAAGCCTCAAGCCTTGTAGATCGTAAAGAGCCCAAAAGGCTCCAAAACTCACTGAATCCTCAACCAACCAAGGGGCCCTAAACCCTAAACCCTAAACCCTAAACCCTAAACCCCCAAGAACCCTCCGAGGCCTCACCGGCGAGGGCCGCTTCCCGGGGGCCTTCGCGCCGGCACCGAAGCCGGAGTTCCTGCGCCGGCGCCTGGAGGTCCCCCCCCCCTCCAATTCTTTCTTTGGGGTTTAGGGTTTAGGGTTTAGGGTTTAGGGTTTAGGGTTTAGGGTTTGGGGTTTGGGGTTTGGGGTTTGGGGTTTAGGGTTTAGGGGTTAGGGTTAGGGTTAGGTAATATAGGGGCCGGAATAACTACCTAATAATCTTCCCTTATGGTCCCTTTGTAGTTATACGATCATAACCCGCAAAACTGTATTCTAATTATTCAAGCCCCCCATAGGAGGCGTGATAGGGGGAGGGGCATCAGCTGAGCATCACACTGACATGGGCCCCAGAATCCTCAAACACCCAATTAGCAAAAACCTCCCCCCCTAAACCCTACACCCTACACCCTAAACCCTAAACCCTAAACCCTAAACCCTAAACCCTAAACCCTAAACCCTAAACCCTAAACCCTAAACCCTAAGCCCTAACTCATCAAGGCAACCGTCTCAAGCCCCAGCAAAAATGCTTGTGGTCACCACCGGCGCTTCAACTGCCTTCTGGGGCAGGTGAACCCTAAAAATAGGATCATTTACCCGTTGCTGTCATAAGCCACCAAGGCATACCCTAAAACCTTTAGCCCTAAACCCTAAACCCTTTACCCTTTGCCCTACAGCCTTTTAGGCTTCGTAGCTTCCGAAGCGAACACAAGAAGTCTATATCATATTGGAACTTCATATACAATTTTCCGACGTATTCATACATATCCGTACATATTGCGACATGCTACTTCATACCATTACTACGATTCTACATGAGGCAGGCACCGGGTTCGCCGAAGCACTCTGCCCTACGCAGGTCCCCTTCCCTGTCAAACTAGTTGTCGGTAGTACTTTAACATGGCACATCCGTTATCACGCTCGGGCCCGTGTAATAAGCTACGGCATGTGGTGCGGACGGCAGCGGTGTGCAAGCACCATGTCAGCAGAATGCATACAGGGATTCCATCAGTAAACCCTAAACCCTAAACCCTAAACCCTAAACCCTAAACCCTAAACTCTAACCCGCGGGACTTGTGGATCATGTGCTTGCCACTTTGCCAGGTCTGGGAAAGACTCCGCGCGGCCCAGGAAGAGGCCTGGATCAAAATGCTAGGGTTTAGGGGTTTAGGGTTCAGGGTTTAAGAACCCCAAATCCACTGTTCGTAGTTGATGATCATGAAATAGTGAACCCCTTATAGGAGCCCAAATCCACTTTTTGTAGTTGGTGATCATGAAATAGTGAAGACCTTCTTTATAGGACCCCAAATCTGAAATAGTGAACCCCTTATACGGTTCCTGGGTACCTTCAAACAAGCCGGCATAACAAAAAGGTAGGCTTCTAATCCCTGGAGGCTGCGGCGGCGCGGCCGCAGTCACCGATCGAGGCCTGGCTATACGAAAATTGCGCTTAGGAGCCTACTCCAAACCCTGAACTCTAAACCCGAAACCCGAAACCCGAAACCCTAAACCCTAAACCCTAAACCCTAAACCCTAAACCTGCTTCAGACAGAGGTGATTCCCAGAAAGCGGCTGCGGGCTTCTGGGCATCCCAAGGGCTTGGGGTGTAGAGAGTGTAATACCTGAAAAGAACCCCTCCCCCAAGGGTTTAGGATTTTAGGGTTTAGGGTTTAGGGTTTAGGGTTTGGGGTTTAGGGGTTTTGCCCAGATTGTAGCGATGTTTGCAATACGTTGGCTTAGGATTCTGGGCAGCCTCTCAACCGTTTTCATTTTCACCCCTGAGGGTCCATATTATGATCTACCATCATCTGCCTTGAGAGGGATCTTTGGTAGCGTGTAGGCTACGTGATCCATTCATTAGGGTACCACTTGGAGCTAGCTACGAAACTCAATGTCTTGGTAGCCCAGTGGCCCTTTATGATTTTTGTTTTGGTCATGGGTTCCCCTTTTGTAATAACCAACCCCAAAAAGGGTGCCCTTATTATCATATGGTTCCTGGGCTACCAAGATGTCCTCATCTCACCGACTCGAACTAACGGATCATCTACTAATTGCTTAAGAACCCCCGAAAAATCACAAAAAAAAACAATTCTTCCTTATCAAGGGTACTATAGGGATTAGTGTTTTTTTTTTTTTAAATCCTTTCGGGGTTCTTAAGCAAACAGCAGTCGTAGCTGCAGCTCTCCCCCTCCCTCCCACACAGGTCACTTTGCCAGATGGCTCCATCAAGGCAACTGCTTTCGGAATGGACATCTAGGGCTTAGGGTTTAGGGTTTGGGGTTTAGGGTTTAGGGTTTAGGGCTTAGGGTTTAGGGTTACGGGATTAGGGTTTAGGCCTAAATCCGAAACCCTCAACCAATCCTGGGGCTTCCAGCCCAGCCGTTATGTTTCCTCAGTGTCCAAAGCATCTACTGTTGGGCACGGAACCCCCAGAACCCCAAATCCCCAAAAGCCCCCCATCATTAGCGTTTTTCTCCTACAAGTCGGATGTCAAGTTGAGGGTTTGAAGGTAGCGAGTTGCAAGGAACTGGCAACTTGAGGCCATGAACCTCCAAGGAGAATCCCTTCCCCACGGTTTAGGGTTCAGGGTTTAGGGTTTAGGGTTTAGGGTTTAGGGCTTAGGGTTTAGGGTTCTTTTTTCGGCATGTCGTTGACTCGTCAGCTCTTCCTGAGGCTTGGGCCAGTGACCCTAACCCTTTCGGGCGTTCGCTTAAGCGGGATTACAATTGGGGGAGGGGGGGGTACTATAAGCGCCATTAAGGACTGTTATCAGAAGGGGGAACATCCCGACCAGCAAACCTTAAACAACCCCTTAGCTTTTGAAACGATTTTGGGCTCTGACCACTGTGCGCCTGAGACACTTAGAAACCGAAAGCCCCTAGGCCCTACCCCCTAACCCTAACCCCGAAACCCTAAACCCTATACCCTAAACAGGAGGCCACAAGCTGGAAGACCACGCCGCTGGACATCGCACAGGCCACCCCTGAGAAAGCCTCTCTGAGCCTGTGTATCAAGGGAGTTTTCAGGGTATTTGACTTCAGGGTTTAGGGTGTTGGGGTTTAGGATTTAGGGTTTGGGGTCAAAAGGGCTTAGGGGAAATTCGGGCTACTTTTTTTCGCGCGGCTCCGTGATTGGAATATCTAGTGATATATGTGGGAAGATTTTCTCACTTCCAAAACGCAGGATGCAGTAGGGGCCAAGGCCCTAAACAGATTCCAGATCGTCAGCAGGCGTGTAGCCCTAAGCCCTAAACCCTGAACCGTCAAGCGGCTTGGCTCGACGTGGCTCAGGATCTCATCTGTCCATGGACCGCCCTCACTTCACAAGGGTTTATAGTTTAGGGTTTAGGGTTTAGGGTTGCGGATCCCTAACCATCACCTGAGATCCTTCAACAAAGGGTTCTCACTCGCTCAGAAGCTTCACAAGGAAGCAGGGAGTGTGGGGCCCCCTCCCCCTTACACCTGGTTACCCTCAAGCCTTTAGCTCTTCAACCCCTAAACCCCTAAACCCCTAAACCCCTGAACCCTGAAAACCCGCAGAGCTTAAACCCCAACCCCTAAAACCCTAAAACCCTAAAACCCTAAACCCTAAACCCTAATACCCTAATACCCTGAACCCCAAACCCTGAACCCTACTACCCTAATACCCTGAACCCTAAAACCCTAAAACCCTAAAGCCACCCACAAAGACACCCCCCGGAGGACATCTCCCGGGGACTCGCCAACAACTGCGTTGTCGCATTGGTGGAGTACTCCGAGCCGGCTGGCTTATACACAGGGTTCAGGGGCTTAGGTTTTTAGGTCTAGGGTTTAGGGTTTAGGGTTCAGGGCTCAGGCACAGGGTTAAAAGGGCTTAAAGGGTTGAAAGGATTTAGAGGTTAGGGCTTTAGGGGTTAGAGTTTAAATGCTGTGGTGGTTGCGGGCTTCGTGTACGGTGGCAACAATGAGGTCACGGGGCAAGAGCAAGCAGAAACCCCCCCCACAGAAAGAAAGCCATTGAGAGGTTCATGGTCCAAAGTGTCGGTTGAGATCAGGGGCACTTCCCGGTAAATCCTCCAAACCAGAGGAAGCCGGTGACTTGCAGCGAACGAGAACTTGGTGCGTTTGGGGACCCCCCAAAAAACGCTCTATTCGGTTCACGCATGTTTGTTCTTAGCTGCCGGAGTTTCCGCTGAAAATCGAGGGTCCCAGGCCCCGATGTGAAGCCTTTGCAGCCAATACATGCCGTGTGCCTCTATGATATCATACGTCCTGTATGGTAGATCCGATCATACATGATACATCATCTATCATCGATCACACCATGCTATTTTTAGTTTTTTAGACCTCACACGGTGATCAGCCCACGCAAGTTCGCAAGCTTTCATGGTGATGCCTACTCTTGAAGCTTCATGGATACTTCTAAGTGGGGTTAGAAGTAGGGTAACTGCAATTCTAACAGGTTGTAACCTGATTTAGGGTACTTAAAACCCTACTTAAACTACCCATGAACCTCCAAGTAGCCCTAAACCCTAAACCCTAAACCCTAAACCCTAAACCCTAAACCCTAAACCCTAAACCCTAAACACCCATGGTGATTCCTACCAGGCGTTTGGGGGACAACTCCTGCTCCCAATGCGTCGCAGCCGCCCGGAGCTCGGCAGTCCTTTTGAGGGGGGGTTGTTAGCGGGTGCGGGTTTAGGGTTTAGGGTTTAGGGTTTAGGGTTTAGGGTTTAGGGTTTAGGGTTTAGGGTTTAGGGTTTAGGGTTTAGGGTTTAGGGTTTAGGGTTTGGGGCTCCGGGATGGAAGCTCCGCGTGATGGCAATAGCAACAATAAGCTTGGTAGCCCAGGGGTATACCCTTTACCCTTTTTGTTTGGGTTCCGGGCTCCCTTAGAAAGTAGCCAACCCCAAAAAGGGTGCCCTTCTCAGAATATGGTTACTGGGCTACCAAGTAAGGAATACTAAGAATGGGAACAAATATGCAAGAGTCATAGCAAGAGCAATGGCAATCGCAACCGTGCGCAGTTCTAACAGCAGCTTGAGCCCTTTGTGTTGGGATGACGAGGAGGCCGTGCTTATAGTTTGGGTTCGAACTGTGGGGGGTTTGCTGAGGGATGGGGATTGGGTACTCAGCAGGAGCTTGGCTGGATTTCGGATAGCGGCTAAGAAAGTCTTCCTTGAAGTTCACACGCTATGAACCCTGTAGACCCTAAAGCCCTAAGGCACGTCAATGAAAGAAAAGGGCCCCCCTTATTGCCTCCAAGGACGGCGAAGAGGACGAGGACCGTGGGCCCTAACCGGGCTAAACCCTTATAGGGGTTAGGGTTTAGGGTCTAGGGTTGGGGTTTGGGGACTTGTGCTGTTCATGTAGCTATTATAATGCATTCATCGGTAGAGTTGCGGGGACCAGGGTCTATGAACCCAATTTTGCTTCGGGCCCCTAGGATGGGATCAGAATGGACAATGGACCTAAGAAACCACATGAGAGCCAAACCCACATGAGAGCCCATGGAACTTGGGATGTTCTTCCTTATGCTAGCAGTCCTTCGTAGGGATTATAATTGGGCCCAAAACCCTAAACCCTAAACCCTATTAAGGGCTGTTCGTATAAGGGGAACATCCCAAAACCCAAAATGGAACCCTTGGTTAGAAAACGCCCAGGCAAGCTGCCGAACCCACCCACAAATTCCGGACACGCGAACCAACATTTTGCGGAGTGTTTAGGGTTTAGGGTTTGGGTTTGGGGTTCAGGGTTTAGGGCTACTTGGAGGTTCACTAAATAAGGTTAATCGTAGGGTTATAAGTACCCGAAATAAGGTTGTAGCCAGTTATACTTATTCCCTACTTCTGACCCCACTGATAAAACCCATGAACCTTCAAGTAACCAACAGTCGGCGGACTGCCTGTGTACATGGGCAGAGCCGTCACACTGACTTGTCGTATCATCTCAGTGTGGTGTAGAAGTCTGACCTCCTCAGTTTTCCAAGCCCTGCACGAGCCCTGCCCTCATCCGATAGCGATCGATAGTACTCAATTTGCATCTCAAACCCTGACGCCCCTTCACCCAAAGCCCTGACCCTCTTCTCAAGCAGCAAGCCTAAACTCTAGGCCCTAGGTCCTAAGTAAACCCTAAGCCCTGTAAGCCCTAAACCCTTTAAGCCCTAAACAAGCAGGACGAGGACGAGGAGTCCAACGCAGAACTTTGGGATCTGACACGACCGCTGGAAGGCTGGGGGAGGGGGGGGGGGGCGGGGGTTGCGCCTGCCTGAAAGGGAACTTGGGGGACTCAACATGAACCCTCAAAGGGCTTAGGGTAGGAGCCCTTCAAGGGTCCCATGATATTACCTTATTATTGGGGTTTATGAAAATGAGGGGCCTTGAATATAGACACCCCCAAATAGTAGATCCCCTTCTAAAAAGGACTCAAGATGGTATCCCCTAATATTGTAAACCCTCATATACCATCTCAAATGTCTCGAAGGGATGGGACCGAATCACGGAAATCCAGGGATGGGTCGCGAGCCCACCCTACTGAAGTGTCATAACATCATCATCTCATGTATCCAAAGCCGCCCATCGAGAAAAAGTGTTCTGCGACACCGTCACATCAGCAATGAACTTTTGAGGATAGAACGGGCCGTAGGGTGTGCTTGAAGCCAGCGAAGCAGATGGCAGGGCTCGAGCAGCACTTCACGCCGCGTGATCAGAAAGCGCTCAGTTCCCCTAAGCCTTCCAGACAGCCGGTGAGGGAAGTCATCGTGCTTGTGTTGTGCCACTTGGGGGCTGCCGAAAAAAGGGGTACCCTTTTTGGGAACCCTTTCAAAGATTCTTTTCTATTTGGGGTATAATTAGAAGGGGTACCCCTACTTTGGGAAGTACCCATTTGGCTGCATCCTCTTCAGCTGGTGATGTGGAGGATGCAGAATGCAGACTTTGAACTGAACCCTCAACCCCCCAACCCTTGTTCAGTCTTGTCGAGCCCCGCTCTCGGAGGCAGCTGCAAGTTGGAGCTCATCAAGCGGCTATCTCAGGAAGATTGGTCGTTTAGGGTTTTGGGGAGTTTAGGGTTGCCTTGGAGTTTCGAGGTCAGAAACCGAGGGCTCTCAAGTTTCGCGGTTTTAGCTTCAGCGCGCTGATCTGTTGAAGATGGATCTTGCATAGTCCCCTCCAGCAACCAGGTTCATAAAATATTAGAATATTAATTCACTTTTAATTTTAGAATATTAAATCCTAATTGATTTTGGAGTATTCTTTTCTCTCTTTTCATTTGTATTAGAATTTCTATTAGTATTGTTTATAATCCTTTGTCTCACAATAATAAAAGCATTCCATTCTCTATTAAATTATGCAGTATTATTTTGTTAATGTTGCTCGCGAATGAACGTAATGAGCACAAAGATTATGAACATAGCATTAAAAGAGATTGAAGTGAACTACAATTTTCTGGATTTCTATTAACACATGCTCTTCGCTGTTACCTTTAGGACATTTATTATATTATAAGGCCTATTTATAACGCATATTTTAATTGAGTTTACTTCTTCCTCTAATTTCCAGCAGCGACCGTCGAGTCCCTTCTGGCCTTGGGTTTTCGCGCTTTGGGGCTTGTAGTTTAGGGTTCAGGGTTTAGGGTTTCGGGTTTAAGGTTTAGGCTTTAGAGTTTAGGCTTTAGGGCAAAGGTTGGGTTTGTAGCATTTGGCAAGCTTTCGAAATGGACTGAACCTCCAGAAGATCGATTTTCTGCAGTCCTGAAAAGGTCGCAGAGAGCGACGGCAAGTACATAAGCGAAGCTCGGGGCAAGCGGGTGACACCCTATAGGTTTAGGGTTTAGGGTTTAGGGTTTAGGGTTTAGGGTTTAGGGTTTAGGGTTTAGGGTTTAGGGTTTAGGGTTTAGGGTTTAGGGTTTAGGGAAGCAGAGACCCAATCCTCCGAACTACACCGTGGTACAAGGGGCCATAGATTTATTAAATGCAAGCACCGGGCATCCATAGGCCTGGCCCGAAACTGTCCGTCTGCAACACACATCCCTCAAGCCCACGATTTCCTGCCCTATAAACCTCTCACCCCCTGAGCTGTTTAGACTCTGTGGGCCTGCAGAAATTCCTCGTAAAGCCTTCATCGGAGGTTTGATGATGATCGGGGCAGAGACACTTTCTGGCACTCGTCGTCGCATGTGCGGAGCTTACGGGGGGGGAGGGGGGAGGCGCTCGGAGGGCATTCTTGAGAGCTCCTTGGGGGCTGAAAAGTGAACCTTACAGAGTTCATGGACCGTATACGTTTAACTTCTAGTAGTACAAGGGTATCTTATATGATCACGAAATTAGGGGATTCGTTTGGTCCCCAAGGATTGGGTGATCAGGGGGAGAGATGCTTCAGACTTGCGAGGCTTGAGGCTCACAACTTCGCCTCCCCTCCCCAACCTTTGTTCGCTTTGAAGCCACGGGCACGGGGGTTGCTTGGACGCTTTAGGGTGTGTAGTAGCAACTGTCACCGTTGCGTGCAACAATCAGAAGTTTCGTTAAAGCCCACAGACGAAATAGCAGGAAAGGTTCAAGCCATGGCGGAGGGGAGTTCCGAAATTAGGGCTACCTTATGGGGGTCGCTACGATGAAGGATCCTACTATTTGGGGGTTTATTTTGGGGGCCCCCTATGTTCGTGAACCCCATAAGAACCCCATAAACCCTAAACCCTAAACCCTAAACCCTAAACCCTAAACCCTGTAGATGTTTTATGGGTTTGGGGCCAAAGCTCAGCCTTCCCGCTGAAGACGGAGGCAGCCTGCGGATCCCTCCCGGCAACCCAAAACAAAGCGGGATTTGCAGCCCTAAGCTCCATAAGTTCCTGGCCTTGTTAGGGTTTAGGGTTTAGGGTTTAGGGTTTAGGGTTTAGGGTTTAGGGTTTAGGGTTTAGGGTTTAGGGTTTAGGGTTTAGGGTTTAGGGTTTAGGGTTGAGCCAGGTTGGGGGGAGGCAGGCGCTCTGGAGAATCATGAGCCTCAGCCAGGAAGGCCTTGAGCCAGGTGGCCACCTGATGCTCATGATGCTCTGGGGTTTGGGTCTGAAAGCCCGGGCCAGAGCCAGCTGATGCTCATGATGCTCCCGGGCTTGGGCTGATGCTCGGGGTTTGGGCCCGGGCCAACACCAGCTGATGCTCATGATGCTCGGGAATTTGGGTTTTGAAAGCGCGGGCCAGCACCAGCTGATGCTCGTGATGCTTGAAAGCCGGGGCCAGCGCCAGCTGATGCTCGTGATGTTCGGGGGTGTGAAAGCCCTGGCCAGCACCAGCGGATGCTCGTGATGCTCGGCGGTTTGGGTTTTGAATGCCCGGACCAAGCACCAGCTGATGCTCATGATGCTCGGTTGGTTTGGGTTTTGAAAGCCCGGGCCAGCACCAGCTGATGCTCATGATGCTCGGGGGTTTGGGTTTGAGTTTTGAAAGCCGGGCCAGCACCAGCTGATGCTCATGATGCGCGGAGGTTTGAGTTTGGCCAGCACCAGCTGATGCTCATGATGCTCGGGCGCTTGGGCTTGAAAGCCTTGGCCAGCACCACTGATGCATGATGCTTGTGGAAAGCCCGGGCCAGCACCAGCTGATGCTCATGATGCTCGGGGGTTTGGGTTTTGAAAGCCCGGGCCAGTACCAGATGATGCTCATGATGCTCGGTTGGCTTGGGTCTTGAAAGCCCGGGCCAGCACCCGCTGATGCTCATGATGCTCGGGGTTGGGGTGTGGAAAGCGCTGATGTTCATGATGCCCGGGGGTTTGGGCTTGAAAGCCCGGGCCAGCACCAGCTAGCTGATGCTCATGATGCTCGGGGGTTTGGGTTTTGAAAGCGAGGGCCAGCACCAGCTGATGCTCATGATGCTCGGGGGTTTGGGTCTTTGAAAAGCGTCAGCTGATGCTCATGATGCTTGGGGGTTTGGGTGTGGAGCACCAGCTAATGCTCATGATGCTCGGGCGTTTGGGCTTGAAAGCCCGGGCCAGCACCACTGATGCTCATGATGCTTGTGGAAAGCCCGGGCAAGCACCAGCTGATGCTCACGATGCTCGGGGGTTTGGGCTTGAAAGCCCGGGCCAGCACCGGCTGATGCTCATGATGCTCGGGGGTTTGGGTTTGAAACGGGTTTTGAAAGCCGGGCCAGCACCAGGTGATGCTCATGATGCTCGGGGGTTTGGGTTCGAAAGCCCGGGCCAGCACCAGCTGATGTTCATGATTCTCGGAGGTTTGGGTTTTGAAATTCGGGGTTTTGGGGTGAATGCCCGGGCCAGCACCAGCTGATGCTCATGATGCTCGGTTGGTTTGGGTTTTGAAAGCCCGGGCCAGCACCAGCTGATGCTGATGATGCTAGGGGGTTTGGGTCTTTGGAAAGCACCAGCTGATGCTCATGATGCTCGGGCGTTTGGGCTTGAAAGCCCGGGCCAGCACCACTGATGCTCATGATGCTTGTGGAAAGCCCTGGCAAGCACCAGCTGATGCTCATGATGCTCGGGGGTTTGGGCTTGAAAGCGCGGGCCAGCACCAGCTGATGCTCATGATGCTTGGGGGTTTGGGGTTTGAAAGCCCGGGCCAGCACCAGCTGATGCTCATGATGCTCGGCCGTTTGGAGTTTGAAAGCCCGGGCCAGCACCAGCTGATGCTCATGATGCTCGGGGGTTTGGGCTTGAAAGCGTGGGCCAGCACCGGCTGATGCTCATGATGCTCGGGGGTTTGGGTTTGGAAAGCCCAGGCCAGCAGCAGCTGATGCTCATGATGCTCTGGCGTTTGGGTTTGAAACGGGCTTTGAAAGCCGGGCCAGCACCAGGTGATGCTCATGAAGTTCGGGGGTTTGGGCTTGAAACCGGGCCAGCACCAGCTGATGCTCATGATGCTCGGGGTTTGGGTGTTGAAAGCGCTGATGTTCATGATGCCCAGGGGTTTGGGCTTGAAAGCCCAGGCCAGCACCAGCTGATGCTCATGATGCTCGGGGGTTTGGGTTTTGAAAGCGCGGGCCAGCACTGGGTTTTGAAAGCCCGGGCCAGCACCAGCTGTGGGTTTGAAAGCCCCGGGCCAGCACCAGCTGATGTTCATGATGCTCGGAGGTTTGGGTTTTGAAATTCGGGGGTTTGGGTTTTGAAAGCTCGGGCCAGCACCAGCTGATGCTCATGATGCTCGGGGGTTTGGGTGTGGGCCTGGGCCAGCACCACTGATGCTCATGATGCTCGGGGGTTTGGGTGTGGAAAGCCCGCGGGTAAGCACCAGCTGATGCTCATGATGCTCGGGGGTTTGGGCTTGAAAGCGCGGGCCAGCACCGGCTGATGCTCATGATGCTCGGGGGTTTGGGTTTGAAACGGGTTTTGAAAGCCGGGCCAGCACCAGGTGATGCTCATGATGCTCGGGGGTTTGGGCTTGAAAGGCCGGGCCACGGGCCAGCACCAGCTGATGCTCATGATGCTCGGAGGTTTGGGTGTGAAAAGCCCGGGCAAGCACCAGATGATGCTCATGATGCTCGGTTGGCTTGGGTCTTGAAAGCCCGGGCCAGCACCAGCTGATGCTCATGATGCTCGCGGTTTGTGTGTAGAAAGCGCTGATGTTCATGATGCCCGGGGGTTTGGGCTTGAAAGCCGGGGCCAGCGCCAGATGATGCTCATGATGCTCGGAGGTTTGGGTTTTGAAAGCGCGGGCCAGCACCAGCTGATGCTCATGATGCTCGGGGGTTTGGGTTTGAAAGCCCGGGCCAGCACCAGCTGATTGATGTTCATGATGCTCGGAGGTTTGGGTTTTGAAATTCGGGGTTTTGGGGTGAATGCCCGGGCCAGCACCAGCTGATGCTCATGATGCTCGGTTGGTTTGGGTTTTGAAAGCCCGGGCCAGCACCAGCTGATGCTGATGATGCTAGGGGGTTTGGGTCTTTGAAAAGCACCAGCTGATGCTCATGATGCTCGGGCGTTTGGGCTTGAAAGCCCGGGCCAGCACCACTGATGCTCATGATGCTTGTGGAAAGCCCGGGCAAGCACCAGCTGATGCTCATGATGCTCGGGGGTTTGGGCTTGAAAGCGCGGGCCAGCACCGCTGATGCTTATGATGCTCGGGCGTTTGGGGTTTGAAAGCCCGGGCCAGCACCAGCTGATGCTCATGATGCTCGGGGGTTTGGGCGCTGATGTTCATGATGCCCAGGGGTTTGGGCTTGAAAGCCCGGGCCAGCACCAGCTGATGCTCATGATGCTCGGGGGTTTGGGTTTTGAAAGCGCGGGCCAGCACTGGGTTTTGAAAGCCCGGGCCAGCACCAGCTGTGGGTTTGAAAGCCCCGGGCCAGCACCAGCTGATGTTCATGATGCTCGGAGGGGTTTTGAAATTCGGGGGTTTGGGTTTTGAAAGCCCGGGCCAGCTCCAGCTGATGCTCATGATGCTCGGGGGTTTGGGTGTGGAAAGCGCGGGCAAGCACCAGCTGATGTTCATGATGCTCGAGGGTTTGGGGGGTGAATGCCCGGGCCAAGCACCAGCTGATGCTCATGACGCTCGGGGTTTTGGGGGTGAATGCCCGGGCCAAGCACCAGCTGATGCTCATGATGCTCGGGGGTTTGGGCTTGAAAGCCCGGGCCAGCACCAGCTGATGCTCATGATGCTCGGGGGTTTGGGTGTGGAAAGCCCTGGCCAGCGCAAGCTGATGCTCATGACGCTCGGGGGGTTGGGTGTGGAAAGCCCTGGCCAGCGCAAGCTGATGCTCATGATGCTCGGGGGGTTGGGTGTGGAAAGCCCGGGCCAGCACCAGCTGATGCTCATGATGCTTCGGGGGTTTGAGTGTGGAAAGCCCGGGCCAGCACCAGCTGATGCTCATGATGCTCGGGGGTTTGGGTGTGGAAAGCCCGCGCAAGCACCAGCTGATGCTCATGATGCTCGGGGTTTGGGTGTGGAAAGCCCGGGCCAGCACCAGCTGATGCTCATGATGCTCGGGGGTTTGGGTGTGGAAAGCCCGGGCAAGCACCAGCTGATGCTCATGATGCTCGGGGGTTTGGGTGTGGAAAGCCCGGGCCAGCACCACTGATGCTCATGATGCTCGGGGGGTTGGGCTTGAAAGCCCGGGTCAGCACCAGCTGATGCTCATGATGCTTCGGGGGTTTGGGTGTGGAAAGCCCGGGCCAGCGCAAGCTGATGCTCATGATGCTCGGGGTTTGGGTGTGGAAAGCCCGGGCCAGCA